CTCTGTGCCAGGTTTATTGTTGTTCCTGCTTTTAGTAAACGATCTTGCTGCGCTGCTGACATCGCCCACCTTTTTCTTCGCCGACGATGTCAAGGTGGTTGGATCTGAAGGAAGAGAGAACCTAAAAAGAGACATAACTGCTGTCCTTAGCTGGGCGCAGAAGTGGGATTTGCCGCTGAATGCTGGTAAAAAAACAGTTGCTATTGCGGACTGACGGAAGCTTGACAGTAGTGCAAGACCAGGGTCCGTTCACGATAGAACCGGTTGGTAAGGTGAAGGACCTGGGTATTGTCGTAACCTCCGATTTCCGCTGGGCCCAGCAGTGCGTAGCAAACGCAAATAAGGCTCGCAGAGAACTCTTCAGATTGAGGTCAGCATTGTCTCGCAGAAAGCCAGAGGTGTTCGTGCCTCTGTACAAAGCTATAGTTAGACCTCACCTCGAGTACTGTGTGCAGGCATGGTCACCCTTCTTCAAAGAGGATGCCGCCTGCTTAGGGTGCATTCAGCGACTGGCAACGAAAATGGTTGAGGGCCAGCGAGGTAAAAGCTACAAGCAAAGGCTTCAGGTCCTAGAACTATTCTATTTAGAAAGGAGAAGGCTCAGGGGAGATATGATAGAAGTATTTAAGATAATGAAAGTTTTGTTTGGTATTAGACCAGAAACCCTGTTGCAGGAAGCGCTGGATTCTCGTACAAGGGGGCATGAAATGAAGCTAGTCAAGGCCCGGTCTCGACTAATAGCCTGGTCATACTTCTTCAGTAAAAGGGTAGTAAACATATGGAACTGACTACCTGTGGAGCTAGTACAACTGCAGACGGTGCTAACATTTAAGTCGGCCCTGGACGAACGGTGGTGTGAACTTGTTCCTGAAGTGGAGGTCTGACAAGCTAGCGACCTGAGAAAACTGAGAGGATTGAAAGCGGGTCACTCAGGTTGTATATTTTTTGTTTTCGCTGTGCTATGTATTGGGGAACGCTCACGTGTAACAATCTCTCGCCCTGGAGGTGAGATGAGACGTCTTTCCCTTCCTCTTTTCAGCCAGGAAGTACGGCTTATTTTCGCAGTGGTGGATGCCATACTTGACCGCATACCACCGAAGGAATTCTGGACGCTCGATTGGCCGTGGCCATTTTCTGTCCTGTGCAAGCTGAACTGAACTGAACTGAAAATTTGCGCTTTTAACGTACTCTGTGCTTGCGGTAGATTCAAATTACCCGGTTTGCGGTTTTTATCGAGATGGCCGGTGCTATGCACACTATTAAATGTGTTGTTGTGGGTGATGGTGCTGTTGGGAAAACGTGTTTGCTTATTTCGTACACAACAAACAAATTTCCAACGGATTATGTACCTACCGTAAGTAAATCCCGAACACAATAAGAGCGGGATGCATTTCTCATTTGGACATAACTTGATGCTTTCCTTTTCGATATTTAGGTGTTTGATAACTATGCGGTCACCGTTATGGTTGCCGGAGAACCTTACACCCTTGGATTGTTTGATACCGCTGGTCAGGAAGATTACGACCGATTGAGGCCTTTAAGTTATCCGCAAACCGATGTGTTTCTCGTTTGTTTCTCTGTTGTGAGCCCTTCTTCCTATGAAAATGTGAAAGAAAAAGTGAGTTTTGTTGGTTTTTATATTCATCGTGGTTCTCTTATTTAACGGTGTGAGGTGCATTGGATTATTATTTATTCAGTTATCTTCTGGGTTAGACAAATTCGATTGGTTTCTCTGTAGTCCTCGGGCACGTTACTAGATTGCCATCTTACTTGGAATTTTCAAGTTTGTTTGGGTATTTGTGCGTGCCCGTTGTCGCTGTGTCTGCCGCTTCATCAATTTGAGCACCATCTGTTTACAGATACTACTTAGACGACTGTAAGCTGTCATTTTCGACACGATCGGATGCATCATACCTGCTTTCATGAGTCGTAGGTCTTCCGGGAAATGGAATGAGTTGATACTTGAGCATTTACGTCGGTTACTGGGCTAAAAACAACCCCAAGGTAAGGCTTCAGTAATAGGTATTTTTTGGTTCCTTTACATATGGGACGAGGACAACCCCAATGTCTTTTGTGGCTCGTCAGAAGGGTACTCAGTTCGGCTAAGGTTTACTAGGTGTTATTGATTGGGCTGCAAGACTACCGGACTTAACCGCGAAATCTGTTCTGTTCTGTTTTCGAAAAGGAGACACCAATGAATTCACCTAATCGGAACGTGTAAGTGACTCAGTGGGATAATGAATGCGGATTCGCTACTATTCGCTGTTGATGTAAACGTAGCATTTTGGTTGGTAGACACCTCATGCTGGATTGTCGGTTTCCGGCGCCGAACGGTAGGTCTTCACGACTATGGGTTCCGCCTTGTCTGTTGTTTGTCTCACAAGGATGTGCCCTCGCAAAGTTAATCGTTTGAAACATTTTCGGAACTGCAGAATGATGGGACGCTAGTCATTGGGGTCGAGTCACCACACTTTGGAATAGGAAAACTCGTTTCTCCATGAAGTTCGAACTGGGTGGTTTCCAAACATCCAAACCACGAGTCCAGTGGACCTTTCTGGTTGTTACGATAAGTAGGGAGGAATAGCTGGATCTACGGGAAGGATTTCAAGAAGAGAATCAATAGCTGAAGTTAAGTTGGAAGCCAACCGTGAAGTGAATGTTTTCGCTTTGTCGTGGGGCTCAAACAAGGGTACCAGAGGAACTACAAATGTGGGGAAAGTTGGAGGGGTAGGAATTACGTGCATCTGTTTACGGCTTGCACGAAGCGGTTGCGTTATGTTGGTTTTTTATTTCATGAAAGTAAATACAGTAACTGGGGCAAACCCCATGACCAGAAGATAAACTGTAAGTGAAAAGATATGGCGAACACTCAAGCTAGGACCAGCTTGTTGATTTTGTGTTTAAAAATAAGGATGTTGTACGTTGTAGGGAAGACGGAAACGGAGTGTTCCACAGTTGTGCTGTTCATGTTAAAAACATGATTGAAAGTTAGAAATGCGATATGTAGGGATAGTCACTTGAAATGTTTGGCTATCCGCTGGTTCTATAACCTTCGAAATGACTGATGTGAGAAATATGGGGCGGTAATTGTTTGGGTCAGAGTAGTCGCCGCGTTTGGGGATGGGAAATATTTCTGACATTTTCCATGGGTTGGAAATATCTGGGAATTGAGAGATAGAATAATCGGCATTGGAGAGGAGTCAGTTCCGGGGCGCACATTTTGAGGACAATGGGAGGAATCCCGTCGGGTCCAGGTGGCTTGTATAGGTCCAGTGACAAGAAGATCTGACGTATCTTTCTGGTGGAAATGATTGGTGTAAAAAGATGGTTTACCATAAGGTGTGTGGAGGTTTAGATGGATGATTCGAGAAGGGTAGAACTGGAAGCAAAATGGGAAGCAAACACTTCTGCTTTTTCCAACGGGTCGGACACTAAGTCACCAGATGGTTTGACAATGAGTGGAAGGTTAGTGGCCCAGGAATTACGGGAGACTGTCTTAGCAAGTGACCAGATCGTCCGGCAGAATGAGCGGTCGCCAGTTGTGCTGCTTTGCGCTCATCAAAGTACGCCCTAGCCTTCTGTATGACGGTTGTACATTTGAAACATTGGGTCCCCTTTATCCAAATCGTTAGAACCGATAGAAGACAAATACTGCGAGATGTTAACATTTCTTTTAATCTCTTCAGTCGCTACAACGTAAAGAAATCTGGTATTTATACTTGGTATTTATATTTGCTTGTATAAATACCAAATTGTTTTACGTTGTATCGACCGAAGAGATTGAAAGATATGTTAACATCTCGCAATATTTGTCTTCTATCGGTTGTGCATTTGTTACGTGCTTACAAGAACCATCGGCGGGAGGTGGGGGAAGGTGACCGACGCCAGCGCAGAACGCTGATTTTTTTTTACTAACAACGCGATAACAGAAGTGGTTAAACCATTCTGGAGGCTTATCGGGTTTTGTGAAATGAGGAATAAATAGGTGCATACCTTGCGAAAGAACTTTAAAGAAATTCGAAGCGGAGATGGAGACATCGGCGGGAAATCAACATTCATTCCAGGGGTAGGAAGCCAAAAGTTACTAAAGCTGCACTAATCAGCGGAACCGTATTGCTAAAACGTGCGTCTAGAATTGGGAGGAACATGGGAACAAATAATTTGGGTAGAGAGCGAAATAAGACAAATGGTCCGATGAGCCTAGAGTTAGAATTGCAGGAACATTTGAAAATAATTGTGGGTTGGATGTGAGGGCAGAATCGACTGTATGAAGGTTGGGTGAGTGATGTCAACGACGGAATGCGGAGTTATTAAAACGTACTGGACGGTTTCAAGCATGAATCAAACACTCGGGGCTCGTAGTTTGCCGAGTTTGGAAGTTTGGAACATTAAGAACAGTCTCTGTTGACTTTCAAAATGAAATAGAAACAAGAGTTATTCCAAAGGTAACACTAATAACATTACTGAACAGCAAGTCTTCGTGACTATGGGGTCCTCCCCGTCTGCTGTTCATTACACAGGCGTTTAACGATGAAAAATGGAAGACGAAAACCGTCCCAGTTGATCGAATCGTAACACTAAAATATGCGCCCGGAACGGAGTGATGAAACGGGGTTTGAGAAATGAGCGAAAAAGTAAATTATACAATGGTCTGGTGAGCCTGAATGGGAATAGTAAGTGATGTTGCAGAAAGAAGAGGGAATGGATACGGATGTGGGCGCGGTCACCAGTAGGATCATGAATACGCTTGGGGAGGCTAACTATTTCACTCAGGTTGTTGATCACAGCAAAAGCCTCGACTTGGCGCCCCATGAAAGAAGTGTCTAAAGAGTGCTTTAGCCATTCCTTGTTGTGGACATTAACATCTCCGACAACGATAGTTCAGCCGTTAGGATCTGCTGCCGTCAATCTCTGAATGTTGAAAGGTAAAATATCGTAGATGAAAGGATCACTGCTGCTCGGGGAGCGGTAAACGGTACAATAGTGGTTGAAAGAAGGAAACTGAAGTTTCAGTCACATACTTTGGAGTTCACGTTTGGAGAAATCAATTTGCCAAAGAGGGAGCGATCAAATGATGCGTATAGGCGAAGAAAAGAATCTAGGAACGAGCTTTGGAACTGAAAACAGTTTGTCTGACGAGGGAGAGCTTTGTATCTCGTTCGGAACTAAAGCCAAAGGGAAGATTGGAGAAAGTAGTGTACACAATTGACTGCGATTTAAATTACGAATGCTACTGAAGTAGATAGAGAAGTGTGAGTTCGTAGATAGAGTGCGCTTTCTGTGATTCATGTGAGTTCATTTGAGATGTGATAGAAAACCGGCGACTCAACCCTGAGGCTTGGGCTGGTGAACCACATAGGTTGGGTGTGGTAGTCACCCGGACGACAACTGGGCTGCCCATCACCTTACCGCTTACCGCGAGTATGGACAACCTCCAGCCTGTTGTCACTCGTATAAATCAGTCCATTGGGCTAGAGATCAACACATCGAAAACGAAACTTCTACTATGACATGACCCCTCTCGATTAACGGGGAGCTTGTCGAGTCAACCGAAGTCCTCAAGTATCTTGGCTCTACGATAAGACCAAACGGCCGGACTAAGGATGAAATCCAACTCCGTTTAGACGGAGCTAGAGGAGCTTTCCTACAACTCCTCAAATCGTTGTGAATCGATGCGAAATAAGCTTAAACACCAAGCTTCGGGTTTGTCAGGCTTCCATTCGCCCCATTCACATCTATGGTTGTGAAACCTGGCCGCTAAGAATACAAGATATAAGGAAACTTGAAGTCATTGGTACTTTCGCCGCATCTTGAAGGAAGGATCGGATCTCCAATGATGAAGTTCGATGGCGCTGCTTGAACATCGACAAGCTTTAAAAACTGCGACAATGCGGACGCCTTTAGTGGTTTGGCCATATGCTCCGAAGGCCTGACACTCAACTCTCGTGACAGGCTGTAACCCCCGCACCGTGCCGTGGATGGTCAACTTAAGACCTGAAGTAGGACGATCAAGGCGGATTTGGAATTACTGTGTCTTCAATCCATAATGGAATTCGCAACTGGAACCAGAACTGGGTTTCTCACTGCGCCAACCCTGCTACCGATCGTCATGCATGGGTCGCCAGCGTTAGATACATCCAGGAAGCCAACTTTTCCTCCCACAGGAGTTAGTCGATCAAAAGTAAAAGAAAGTAAGATTGTGCGCAAGAATCCGCCGTTGTTTCGATTGCAATTTCGTTCGCTTCCTTGATTGCCGTCCAGTTTTCACTTACTCCGGCTAATAGTTGAGCTGAGATACGGTCGGATAGTTCCTTTTCGAAGGCTGATTTGCAACCATTGCTGACACTACCGTGGACATCCGTTTTCGATGGGTTTTCTGCGGTTGTATACCACACGTAACGAGAATGTTACTCGTAGCGGCGCATGATCCGTGTCCACTGGTGTTGGCCAGTAAGAGCGGCAGTCTTCATTGAATCCTCACCAGCGGTGGCTGATATCGATGTGGTCGATTTTAGTCCAGCACTGANCTGAAGAGGTTGGCTGTCTTAATGTAAAGCACTGTCGGTTATTGTGTAAGAAGTTGATGCTTTGCATTAGCAGTCCGTGATCAGCACAAAATTTGAGTGGGCGTTCTCCGTTATCAGTCCGGTTAGCTGAGAGTGCATGTGAACCACCAAGTAGGCTTTCTGATTCATCCAGGGATCCTACTTGGACAGTGGAGACTGCAGCGACTATCACAGTGTCCGTTGAAGAAGCACTTTGGTACAGTTGAGAGGTCCTTGTAGAATTCATCCTTCATTTCCGGCGAACTGCAGTCGGTTGTTTTCTATTACACACCAGTGCGTGAACAGCAGACGAAGCGGACCCCATAGACACGAAGACCTAGTGTTCAGTGATGGTAACGGCAACCTAAACTTCGGGACTTGGAGTGGCGAACCAAATAAGACCCCGCTAGATATTCCACCGGGCGACAACAAAGCTGCCTACCACCAAAAAGCAAGGCTGTATACACGGATACAACTAATTAGCATCGATGCTTTGTTCTGTAGCTGTTAATCCGTACCGAACCATCCAAATATACAGACCAAAGTCGGCTACTAACCGAGATCCAGTCGGGAAGTGACCGCTCGGCCTCCACACAGTGCAATCCCCGACATCAGCAACATCGCGAGCTTCGGATGCCGAATTACCTGACACGGAGGATGAAGCGTAAAGATTAGGCTGGATCTGGAGATCGCAACTTGATGGTTGAGCTACGGTCTTGTATGTGTGTTCTAGAGACAACATACATCTAAATTGAATGTTTCATGGATTCTAGCTTAGCTTGTTGATCGATCTGGTATAGTGTGCGGACAGTGAGTGCTGCTAAGTGAAAAGAAGATTTTGGTTTCTAAAACCTGATAGCCTCTGAGTGGTTGACCTTATCAGTTGAACGCTGAGTGATATCCAATGAATGCATCTTAAAATTGGGAGCCAGAACAGGAAGTAAACAGATAAGAAAGTGTTTTCCAAATGGTTACTCAGGACTTTGGAGCACGTCATACTTCGCGATAGCACACACTGACGAGGTGTTTTTTCTTTGATAACCCTAACTGAAGCCTTCGACTCAAAAGTCTGATTCACAAGGCAGTGGGGCGTAGATCCAACGCGAGAACGTAACCAAAGCACCCGTGTGGGAGCTTCTGGAGATCTGTCGCGCAAAGCTTTCGGGTTTAGTTTTGGTGTATTGTCCGTTGGTGCGTTGATTGTCTCTCCACTACTCAGGATTACTCTTAGTCCCATGCACCCAATGAAACCAGCGAAACGTAGACGGGACAGCACTCGACTGGGGGCTGCCTACCTTGGGTTTGCAGTAGCTGTCCAGCGCAGTTCGAAGACTTCTCCCACCGTCAAGGGGAAGTCCCAGGTACTCCGCTCTTATGTTCATCTAGCGTTTTCTCGATCGGTTATCTGCCTCTCCGTGATTGTTTGGTGGAGTGACCTATCCAGGAGCGGGAGTGTATACTCACAGGTAGCCAGACGATACCGAAGCGGCTGAACTTTGTCTGGCCTGTAGCCGTTGACCATCATGTATAGCTCGCAAGGTTATGCAGGAGCGCAAGCCACCACACCACGTCAAGGTGCAGTCTCGTCGTAGTGACTAGTTGACAATTCAGCGTTTTCTCTTGACTTCCTTGACTGTTTTACTAGTAGAGCACAAACCAGAAACCCACAAAGGCTCCATCTAAACCCGTAGTCAACATTCAGATTATTATACAACTTTTTGTGGTAACTACGCGGAGAGAATTTTACAGACCCTAACCATCCACTACAGGCAGAACTGACATGTCATTCAGAGCCCTCCATACGCTCTGAAATCCAACAAATGCCATCTTGCATAAGCACCGATCGTAACTGCTTTTATGCTAGAAACGAAAACAGTATCAGTTCTCACGGTAAAACTGTAATAGCAAGCCTTATCAAAGCAGGTTACCCAATGTTCTTCAGTGTTGTAACATCTGCATGGATCATGGAGCCATATTGTTACCACAAGATCATCACAACAGATTATTCATTGGGATTCCTCCGATTTATGGCTCAATGATTTAACGACTTTAGCTTTCAATGTGATGTCCGTTTTCTGAACCCACTCAGGAGTATATTGTTTGTAGTTAAGACTAATCAAGTTTTGGCATAGTACCATCATCGCGTAAACTTCTCCATTCCGTACAATGGAATCCTTCGGGGTCGATATTTGCTGCGTGTCGGAGACTCGAATCCAGGATCCTACTAATATAAGCCACTTGATCGCATCGGATTTGTCTTTGAGATACGTTCTTCGCACACCAGGCGACGATAAAACCCGTCCAGTAGGTCAGCGCAGAGTAGGTATTGTACTCAGTAACAGAGTTGAGTCCTTTCTTATCGATTGGTTCCCCGTCAGTAGTCGTTTATGTGCGGTTCGTCTCCAAGGTTCAATCAGCTTCCGGAAGGGAAGAAACATATGTACCGATCGATTGCAGTTCTGATACACAAAAGGACGCTTTCTACGCTGAAACCATCGAACTCATTCGGCTGAATCGAAGCTCCGACATAGTTGTACTTGCAGGTGACTTAAACGCGCAGGTTGGAAAACTGAGCGCATCAGAAG